TAAGGGATCAAAAACCAAATCAAAGCGAACTTATAACTTTCGTTTGCAAAGACAATTAATTAATCGACTATAGGCCTGACTCTCTAAAAGTATCCCCAGCGGAGTCGCCAAGCTGTCGAAACGATTTTTAACGGGGGCGAGATTTTGAAAATCGCGTTGATTTTTAATTGTTCTCTTTACGATTGAATTTTTAATTAAAAACAAAGTGATTTTTAGAAAACCTCTCATTTCGAAAATTTGGAAATCCTTTTACGATAAAAACATATGGTTCGAGGAGTCACCACCAATCTTTGATTAGGGTGTGATTGGGCACCCAAAAACGTTGTCATTTTAAATAAAAATTAATTTTAATTAAAATGACAAATTTACGGTCTACATTACCAAAATCCAAGTTCGGGAGTCAGTTACGTGCGGGGAAGGATTAGCACCCCCACAACGCCCTAAATCGGAACCTAGTCGATTAATTAATGCCTTTGCAACGAATTTCACAAGTTCGAGTTTAATTTGATTAATAATCCCTTAGAACAACAAAATGTGATATTTGTAATATTCAAAAGCATCAAAGTACATTAAATTAGAATTATCAAACCATTAGAAAGATAAAGAATATTCGATAATTTAAAGATATCGAGACCAGATCTTTAGTTCAGTTCTAACGACCTTTTCTCGAAAAATTTAAATGGTCGAATATTTCCTTTTCTTTCGTTCCCAAATTTTAGAGTGAAGAACCAAAATTTCTTTAGGTTTTACTGTTAAGATACACTTGTAATTTAAAACTATCAAGAACAACTTTCCTGTAAGTTAAGAAAAGCTATTCTGACAGTTTTAAATTAAAAGGGTATTACCCTTAATCTGATTATGTAATGGTGTCGGGTCATGCACACGAGATTAACATGCTTTTAAAAAAGAAAAAAGAATACACCTAAATATATTCATATGAACAACATGCTTAAGATAAAATATACATGCATACACTTAAAGTACATCTAAATTAAACCTAAAACATGCATAAAATGGTAAACAAAGGGACTAAAAATAAAAATTTAAAAATAATGGGCCAGAAACACAAAAGATGCAAAATTCGATTAAACACACTAAATTGACTAAAATAAATGTTCTGAAATTTAAGAGTCGAATACATAAAGCTGTGAAAAACTTTAAACAACATGGTTCGTACTAAAATGTAACAAACATAAAGATTGAGAGCCCAATTTAAGATTTCCACAACATCAAAGCGAGGATTAAAACGAAACAACTGACAACTACAGGGACTACGACGTGGTTAAACCTCTCCTAGGCTCGGGTTCCAAACGGCGTCGTTTTGGAAACTGAATATATTAGGTGTCTTTGGTTTATTTTTAACCTAATTTTCATTCTCCCTTTAGTTTCATTTTAGCAAACTTATCCCCCCGCCGTTCTCAACTTCTCTCCCTCAAACACTCTCCTAACCCTCGACGAAGCCCAAAGCCTATGGCCACCATGGCCACCGCCGTGGGGCTCCGATGAGGAGCCCAGACATCACATAAACCCCCCCCCCCCGACGGTAACCCCGGTAGTTACCAACCTAAATCTAAGGCCAAAACCCCTCGAAACCCAGATTTCCCTTCTCCTAAGACTCCAACAAGATACTCAAAGGACCCAAGGGTAACCCCGACTGAATCTTAACTCAAACCCAACAAAAACCTACAACCCATTGCTCAAAACCGACATGCACGACTCAGAAAACAACGAAAGACGAAGGGTCTACCTTTTTCTCGGTTCCTAGCAAGGGCGACAGAAGCTTTCTGGATTAATGAGGTAGGTTTTTGTTTTTTTCTTCTTTTTTCGTTTGATGGTGGATTTTTGGGTTCTTGTAGATTTTTTGGTTACTGGATGTTTTCTTTTGGTTCTGTACCTTTTTTTTCATTCGATGATAGCTGATGGGTTCCCTTTTTTGCTTGGACGATTTTCCTTTTTGTTGTTGATGGTTGGACCCCCTTTTTTTTAATTTTTTTTAAATTAATTTTTTTTTTGATGAGAAGATCTTTTTGTATTAATTTCCCGAAATGGGTAGAATTACAATGCTTTTCCTCCCTTTTGTTTCCCAGGGAAGCCCCCTATTACAAACTCTCAAAATCCCCCCACCCTTTGAATCCTTTTCCGTTCGTGAGCCCAGAGCCTTCTTACGCCCATTCCTCTCGAAAATTCCTTTCGTTCCTGCCTCCCATGTGCTAATGAAATCTCTCTGCTCACATTCTCGATGCCCCTTACCATTGTTCTCTCCTCCGTCCCCCTTCGAATGTAATGGTTACCCCTCTTTCTATCTGTTGAATACGCTCTCCCTTGAATTATGTGTATCTCTGCTAATGGAGTAATGGGCGTTGCAGGGTATGGGCATGAGCTGTTGGTGGTGTTTGCTCGGGGTGCCGAGCCTTGTCTGTCGCGCTTCACGTGGGTGGATGGTAAGCCCGGGTTGGAAATGGTGAAGGCACGGGCATGGGTTGGAAATGGTGAGCTCGTGGTGGTTTCTGCTGGGGGGTTGTTGCTGGCCTCACGTGATGTTTCAACCGGGTCCCATTTTGGGTTTGATGAGTTTCAGGTTTGGGTCTGATAACCCATTGTAATTGGGTCCGATTTGGGCCTCATTTGTAATTTGGGTTTAGGTTTATAAGATGTACAAGGACTCTAAACATTTAATTTGGATTTGGGATTGAATTTGGGGCTTCAATTTATATCTTGAATTCCAAAACGAAGCAAATATGATCACAATCCAATTAAGCACCTAAAATTCCCAAATGCAAGCTTCCTCGCTTCATCATTTGAATTAATTCTTCATCGAGCACCTTCATATTAATTTGATCATCTTCAAATGGATTCAAATGGCCCGGACAAAATTAGGGTATTACACACTCTCTTCAAATATAAGTTTTGTTTGGTGTGAACATAATTCTGAGCAAAACGCCAAACCTGGACCTGGATTTTAATTTTACGTTGACACGCACAAGCCCACAATTGCTTAAAAACTGCTTTATCCTCGGATGGAACCTCGGCTCTCGCCTATAGCAGACGATATCTGCTTCGCACGCTATTCTCCCCTGTTTTTTCACCGCTCCAGACTTTACGATCTTCCTGCCGATAACGCGAGAGGGGGGATGCCTAGAATCAAGTTCGCCTCCATTTCATTGAACATAGATCCAACTAAATACTCTTTCCAAGTCTTTGAGTTTTTGTCAATTAGGTCACTAACACGGTCCATTGTATCATTCTGTCCCGGCTCGATCACCCTTAGAATGTCATAAGGGAGCCAAAAATCTTTCCATACTAATATGGAATTCCCACTTCCAAACTTCCACCGTAACCCAGCAAACAACATACCTTTAGCGCTTTAGACACTATGCCAAATATACAACGATGTGCTTCCAAGACTTGAATTTAAAAAAATCATTGTGTGATAGTACTTTGCCCTCAACAGTCTCGCAACAAGAGAATTCGGATTTGTAAACAAATGCCATCCTTGCTTTGCAAGCAATGCGAGCTTAACCATATCCCTGAAACAAAGGCTCCCATTTTCCTTTAGCTGAGACAACAAATTCCACACACACCAATAGATCCCTCGTTTATCTTCAGATTTTTACCACCAAAACTGTGCCATAATCCTCTCAAATTATCGACACAATCTCACAGGCAACAGAAAAAAGCTCATAGCATACAAAGACACCGTGCTCACACAAGTTCTAATGATCGATATCCATTCCTTGGAGAACCCCATTCTCTCCATTATCATCCAAATGAAATACCACTCTACCCTATCATACGTCTTGCTCATGTCCAATTTTTCCATTATAATTTTTTAGAAACAATTACAGATTTATATCTTTTATTTTAAATAACAACATTTAAACCGCCTTATTTTTGGTTTATTATATGAAAATTGAAACAAACACAATTAAGCAGCAAATTACATGAAAGATTGTGTAGTCTCTTGGGAGCCCCATCATTAATTTTAGTTTCTATGTTAAAAACTTAAGTTCATGCTAATAACAACTACATGTATCCTGGATTGTTTAAATGTGCTGTTAAATCGAATACTGAGCTGGGCACGAAAAGTTTCTAAAACACTCACGCCATGCAGAATCTTTTCAATTTTCAAACTTCACTGTAAAGAAATGGCACACCATTAATGAAATTTAAACTCAAGCTGCTTCCGGTTCTGTTTTGTTTCACGACAAAAACAGATAAATGTTGGTTACAATCAATGCAACTTTAGCCTTTCATTCCTCAAATTAAAACACAAGTGGTCCATAAATTTGAATCTGTTTTTCACGTTTTTAGGTGATACACTAAAGCTTTTATCTTGCATCCCAATACAAAGTCATTCCTTTCCTGCTTCACCACCGAAGGTAAAACACACCTTTACATAACAAAGAAAAAAATCAGTCACATTCCATCTTTCAAATTTGCACCACATAATATGAAAAAATAATTATAAAACATAAAACTTGTATTAAAAACTACACCAACCCTTCATGTGTCTCTTCTGGTCTCAAACTTAATAAAACATGCCATTTCAAACACTTTAAAATTTTGCTTTTCTGTGAATCGACCCAAAAGAATTTGCTTCATTAAATGAAATCCTAGAGATTACCCATCACTATTTGACATTATAAATAAACTTATTAAAAGTTTACATGCCAGATGACTTGAGTAAATCATCTCTCTCGGCCCATCTTTGTCCTAGCTTAAGCTCCACTAAACCATAAAATCTAAGGGCCCCATGGTTTGGCAAATGGCCGGCCTCTGACTTCTGAGTTTTCCATTATTGTTTACTATTTCTTCTTTTTCATTAGCTTTTACTTCTTTTTCTTCCACTTGTCCCCGTTTCTCTCTCTCTCCGCAACTCAAACTTCACGCTTTGTTCTTTTTTTTTTCTATACAATTCCTATTTAAGCGCCCTTTGTTTCATTCCAGGACGACCCGAGACAGTGTTTGAATTCGAAAAGTTTGTATTGAGTTTCAAAGCAATGGAGAATGCTGCAGCTAATTGTTGTGATGAAGAAAAACGGGAAGCTGACGAAGAAGAAGAAGAAGCGTTGTCGCTGTGTGATTTGCCTGTCAATTTGAATAAAGAAGAGAATCAGCAGGTTGAAGAAGATGATGTTGAACAAACTCAAACGAGTAAAACGGAAGAAGATTTCAAATTTGTCTCATGGGGTGCCTCTCTTTCGATAAAACCAGAGATGTGTGCAGCTGATGAAGTGTTCTTCAAAGGCCAAATTCTACCGCTGCGTCACTCTGTCAGTTCCGACAGTGCCGTGAAGGGGTTCCGGCAAGATAGCCACAACACTAGCGTGTGCTTGTCAAGGTCGGATTCCATGGATCATGGTTCATTAAGTAGGTTCACAAGTGTTAGCAGCAGCACCAGCACTAGAAGTAGCCATTACTCAACCAGTAGCAGTAATGCCAAACCAATGGCCATTAAAATTAGAAACAACTTCAACGCACATCCGAGCCCGAAACCGCAGATCAGATTAATGTCCAAAACCCGAACACCAAACGTCAACAGCAGAAACCAGAGATCATCAATATGGGATTTTTTCAGTGTAGGGTTGGTTCGAGCACCGGAGTTCGAATTGCGAGACTTGAAACTTCGTAGCAGCAGCAGCAACAACAACAACAATGGTAACAGAACTTCCGTTAGTCGAAACAGCAGTTGTAATAGCAGTAACAGCAGTTCAAGCACCAAGAACGTAGTTGTTAACAATGGTGGCGCCGAATTTCCAAAGAATCATCGAGATTTGAACGGGGGGTTCTTAGAAACGAGAATGGGATTGCTTAGTGGATGCGCATGTTCAGTTAATGCAGTTGAAACAGTTCCATCGAACAACCTAGCCGTCACCAAAAGTAACAAGAACAGCGAGAAAGACAAAGCAACATCGAATGCTGCGGCCATTGGAGGAAAAAAGAAGAAAAAGCAAGCTTTGTCTCGCCATCGAACCGTTGAATGGATAAACGAGCTTTCACATGCAACCTATGTTGATGACGCCTAGAGAAAGACTCATGAACAATCCCTCGCTTGCTTCCCTTTCTTGTAGTTAGTTAGTTGGGCATTTCGGTGTAGTTCAACTATGTATTTTGACTTAATTTATCGTGAGATCGTTGAGGTTGCTATATTCAATAATTCTAGCAAGTAATACAGTTTATACGAGTACTTTTTCATTTTATAGGACTAGAAGAAATTTTTAACGTGGCTCATTTTTCAAAATAAATAAATAAACAAATGGTTTTCCTGTTTCTTACAGACTTACACTTTCTCAATAATTCTACCTTGTATTCGTGTCTGATCTGCCAGTTTTGTTGGAAGATTTTAAAATACTTTATTCCTGAATCAACTGAGCTTTGATTTGTTTAATGCAGATTAACATAATCATATAATTGTGGGCTTCAAATAGTTTTAAGTGATCAGGTCTTCAGTTTCCTTTTTCTTCTGCTTTTAAAAAAACCCCATAATGATAAAAATGTTCTATGCTTATTTAAATAGTTATTTTAGCTATTATTATTTTTAAAATTATATCAATTTTTAATATTTTATTGTAGAGTAAAAAAGTCATAATTGTCGATTAAATAATCACTTTATTCATCATTTTTTTAAAAGCATACTCTAATGTTTTATTTCAAAATAAAGAGATGCTATTTTAAAGAAAATGTTTCTTTTTTTTTTTTTTTGCCTCCAAATGAAAGATTAAGAGTCAAAATATTCAAAAAAAAAAAAGAAAATTAAAATTAAAATAATTATTTAATCAAATATTATAGACAAATTTTAACTTACATTTTGGAAATATTGTGGGCGAAAAACAAAAATTTTAAAAATGCACGTGTTAGAAATTTATTTTGAGATCTAAATCATTTGTTATAGTATACATGAAACACCTCACACCCACGTGACGAGTTTTATAAAATATACTTAAAAGTATAACTTGTCATGTGGATTAAACGAAATTAGTATGGAACGTGTCATGAGAGAATGACAAATTTCAAAAACAGTGAATCAAATGACTTAAATCTCAAATTAATTTTCAAACACCTATATTTTCTTTTTTTTTTCTTTTTGTTTGCCTTATTGGCCCTAAGAAGCTCATTTTTTATTATTATGTCTTTAAAAAAGGGCATAATTATAAAATAAGTATCCAAATTATAACGTTTTTTTCAAATAGGTTTTCAAACTTTTTTTTTTGAATTATCCATGTGTCTAATGCTACAAACGTTATAATTTTAGGTGTCCGAGACGTAGCGACCATTAAAAAGATTTGTTAAGTGACACATGTCATGTTATGGTAATTTTGATTTTTTTTAAGTAAAAAACTTGATAATATAATTTTATTTTTAAAAAAAACCCAAAACTTTTGAAAATCTTAAAAAATCAACAAACTTTGAAAACCTTAATTCTAATCCTTATACCCACGTCAGCCACCCTGTCATCGTCATTGTTGCAGTCGATGAACCTCAAATCGATCGAACTGCCACTGATGACACAACACCCAAAGAACCCCTAATTGATTATTTAAACCCGATGAACCCTAAACCAAAATCAGACAATTAAAGCATCTTGACGATTTCAACGGCAACCAGACGACATGGGCAATAACGAATGACAATGGGGATGGTAAGGACAGCGACGACAATGGCGGTCGTGATCGACAAGGGAGGTTAGGGTTAGGGATTTGGAACTTTTGTAATTTTAGAAAAATAAGTTTTTTTATAAATATAATATTTTTAAATTTAAAAAAAATAAAAATTACCATAGTGTGACTCGTGTTACTTAATGAAATTTATTAACGATCGTTACGTCCAGACACCTAAAATATAGCGTTTGTAACGTTAAACTAATTAATGATTAAAAAACGGTTGGGCACTTATTTTTTTATTAAGCCTAAAAAAAGCTTTCCTTCAATTAGACAGCATATCTCACGCAAGTGAAAGCTCATCTCCAGTCATAAATCATTTTCTCCGTCTTCGCGTATGTCAGAGTATGTTTCAGTGGCAGCTAGTATGAAACCATGTCTTCAGTTTAAATCCTCGTACAGAAAACTCAGGTAATTGTCTAAATTTAACCATAACTAATATGGTTTTTTTACCACTTTTTACAACAATGAATGGGTGAAAAACTGGAGGAGATATGGTTGCTAAGATTCACTATGAATAATTCCATTGACAGTGGGCTGAAGTACCCGACAAGGAATGCTTATCCACGAAACAAGTTTGGGTCCCTTCGATTGGCTATGGTGCATGAAAGACATCACCTTTGCTCAAGTGGTTATAACTAGACATTAAGTTTTTTGTCTTGTGAAATAAAGAATCAATATATGAACTCTGTGTCCCATCAGCACTACTACCTTGAAGAATAAAAACATCTTTCATGAAAATGTTGCACGTGCTTTTTAAACTGTCTGACCTTTAGTTTAAGATTTAGTGATAATTTTCTGACATTACCATAATCATGAGTTAAATATTCTTTTTTATAGATAAAGGTTTTGAAAGTAACAACGCTAAGATTGATGATGTGAGATGATTACACATTGTACATGTAATGATAAAGCGTCAAGGCCATTTTATATTAAAAACCTCAAATAAACAATTATTTAAAAAAATAAGACCCTCCCTACGTTATTTAGAAGAATAACTCCCGAATCATCCACATCGGACGACCTTGTGCCCTGTAAGTGATAATTATTATTATTATTATAGGTATCTATTATATTCATTTAATTTATATGTTTCAATAGAATTCGAAAGAAGCTCGCGCTTTGCAAACCGCGAGGTCCTTCATAAATCTCGTGATATTTTAGATTATAAAGGCTACATCGCACTTCGCAATGCGCGAGGTTATTTTATCCGGTTGTTTCATTGCCTTACCTGGAAAGTATGCCCACGTCGGATGTATCTCGCGTGTTGGATGGTGCGATGATTTAACACGTGGTTTGTAGGCCGTGAGATCATCTGATGCCAATGATTTGGGGTTATTCTTTCAAATAATATCTGGAGGGCCCTATTTTTTTAAATAATTATTTATTTGAGATTTTTAATATAAAATCGACAAGCGTCAAGGAAAAAGTAATTATTGTTGTACTGACAACAAGTCATAGAACAAAAGAAAATTTTTGACCTTGAAAGAGTATTAGGAAGAAAATTGAGGTGAAATCTTTTTGTCTCTTCACATTATTGCTTTTGTGATTTCAGTTTCATTGATTTCACCAAAACTGGCAATGCCTGCTTTTTCTTCCATTTCTTAAGTTTGGTCATGTTGTCTTGTTGGTGCCATTAATAATGGTGTGTGTGTGTGTGTGTGTGTGTGTTTTATATGTGACTAACTTGGAGACTCAAGGGCAGTGCTCAGGTGGAGACTATCTGCAAATCGGCCTAATAATCAGCTGGCAACTGATCATAATGTTGGCGGATAAAGGGCGCATTCAGATGCCAATTTCGGCGTTGGTCTTGGTTTCTTTGCTTAATTGCCTCGGTTACAGTTTTCGACTTCCCTTGGTCAAGTTTTCAGTAAGTTGAGTGCCTTTGGTAAGCCATCGTTTTGGAAAAATAATCAGAGATTTTAAAAATAGTTTATAAGTCCAGACCATTTTGGATAGTTATATGTGGATGTGTTTGAATGCAGTTTAAAATGTTGGGATGTTAGTTTCATTTAAATTTTAAAATGTAACAATTTAGTCCATTATGTTTTTGATTCATTTAATTTTTAGTCCTGCAGTCGTTAACATGGAGTATGAGTTAACACTTAATTTATTTTTGTTACTCGGTTTGTATTAGTTGCAGCTACGAGATTTATAAACATTAAGCTATACTTACCCATTTTGAGATTTTATAACTATTCGTTTATGATTTAGAGTTCCATGATTTATAAACATTAACCTATACTTATCCATTTCGAGATTTCATGACTATACATTTATGATTTGATTAGATGATTTTAAAAAATAATTAGTCACTTCGATGGTTTTATATATCACTCGAATCTTTCAAATTCAGGTCGAGTCAGACTAAGGAGTTACATACATCACTCAAGGTTAAAATGAAAGAAATGAAAAATAATGGATGAAAACTGTTCGAATTTCATTAAAAAGAAAACAACATGTGTGGTACATGTTGAAGACACGAAATTGCACGAACACAAGCATGAGTCGACCGAGGGCGACGACTACACGCATGTATAAGCATTTTTCTTCGATCACTCAAAGAGTCCACGTGTAAAAAAACTATATTTATACATCTTAATAATTTTATATATAAACACGTGATATTTTTATCATGATAAATCACACATTGTTTATATATAAATTTTACACATTTACTCATCAAGTAATTGAAGATAATGTCTATATACAACCTTCTTTTTTTTTTTGAAGGATCTATATATAAGCATCGCTTGTGCAATTACGTGTCTTTGTCATGTATCCCACGCATTGTTTCTTTCTGAATGAAATTTGTACAATTTTTCATCGATTATATTTCATTTCTTTCATTTTGTCCCTGAGTGATGTCAACATGGAAAAAGTCATCAAATGACCTGCCAAGTAGGTAAAGACGCGCCTGCACCTACGTAGAATTCTCTTCCTAATGACGTGTCTTCATCATACATGGCCAAAATTGGCAAAAGTGCCCAAATAAGGATTTGAGAATGTTTAATACTCAATCTAATGCACTCATCTGATTAATTTTTGATCTAGGATGTTTTTTTAATGAATTTTGAGATCTCTCGGCGTCTTCACGGGTGTTGATTGTTTCTTGGGATCTCTAGGCGTCTTTAATTGAAATCCAAGAAAAAAATTGGCGTTTTTACACAAATATCACCTTAACAGAAATTAATTACTTGTTAGGCACTGTTTAAGAATATTTTATGTATCTAACAAATTTTTAAATACTTTCTATAAAATTATTCATGTATTAAATTACAAAATACAATTATGTCTACCAATTACCACTTGACACTTTCTGATGCGTTTTTGACCCTTTCAAAATCCTATACGTATAATATATTCTA